TATCCCCCATGCTATTTAACATTTACATGAAAGCACAGGGAGAGGTTATCTGGAGGTATGGGCTGAAGTGTTGTCAATATGTTGATGACACTAATCTCTACCTCTCCTTTTCATCTAATACAGGTGAGGCAGTAACTGCTCTGAATCAGTGTCTGGGCAGGGTGATGGACTGGATGAGGGCCAATAAATTGAGACTCAATTGAGATAAGACAGAGATACTGTTGGTGGATGGATCCTCTGTCCAATGGGTGAAATTCAACCTCCTCTGGATGCAGTCAAAACCGGGTTCATAGTTTGTGGGTGCTCCTAGATCCAGAATTGTCTCTGGAAGCCCAAAGTGTAGGCAAGGTGGTTGCAGAGCACCTTGTATCAACTTTGGCTGATCCATCAACTGTGTCATTACCAGGGCAGGCAGGGACTAGCAACAGTGACCCATGCTCTGCTGACCGCTTGTTTGAACTAAAGCGCTTGAGAAACTTCAGTTGGTGCAAACTGGTCCATTGGTGCTGTAGTGGTGAAGAGCACGGGACTGGGACTCGGGCAATCTCGGTTCTAGTTCCCACTCAGTCATGGACCTAGCTGCATGACTTTGGACCAGTCAGACTCTTAGCCTGACCTAACTCACAGGGTGGTTGTTGTGGGGATAAGATTGAGAGCAGGAGGAAAATGATGTAAGCTGCTTTGAGTTCTTTGTAAGAAAAAAGTTGGGACAGAAATCCAATAAATAAATAATAAAATAGGGCAGCGAGGTTGCTAATTGGGAACTGGAGGGAAGAGCGCATCACCCTCGCTTCCATCATCTACATTGGTTACCATTTGAAGTCCGAGTCTGATTTAAAGTTTTAACATTAACGTTTAAAGCCCTAAATGGTTTAGGACCAGGATATCTGAAGGGATGCCTCCTTCCATATATGCCTTCTCATGCTCCAAGATCATCATTGTAGGTCCTTCTCTGAGAGCCCTTCTAAAAGATGGAGGAGGAGGGTGGCCACAATGGGAAGGGATTTTTCAGTTGTGGCACCTCATTTATGGAACCAGCTCCCCAAAGAAGTGTACCTGGCTCCAACTCTTTATTATTTTCAGCACTAGGCAAAACCCTTTTTATTTTCTCAATATTTTATATCTAGGTTTTATAGTGTGTATAAATTTATGTAGATTTTACATGTTTTATCTTGAATTGCTGGTTGTCCCTGACTTGATTTGTTGTTGATGCTTGTTATGGATTATGTGTGAGGTATTTTTGGTTTTATTTTTGGGATTATACTTTAAATGTTGTCTTTGAATGTTATCTAAATTTTGGTTTTTTTTGTAGTTTTAATGTATTGTAAACCATTTCAGAGAGCCGTTTGGCTAATGAACAGTATAAATACTATAAATTTTGAAATGGAATTTGACATTTAAATTGTAATGAAAAAGTCTGTTTAGCATATAAAATTGTTTTTGGAAGATGAGTTATAGTACAAATATAACAACATATTTGTTTGCAGAGAATCACAAAATCCTGTTACATAAAAAGTATTATTTTTGAATAAGGAATCAAAATGAGATTTGTCTTGCATTATATTTATACAAAGAGTTTATATGGGATAATGATTTTGTTTCTCTTAAGGTGCTAGGAGTGGGAAGATGGAGAAGTGACGATGAATACTGAATATATTTAGGAGGAAATGAGTATAAAATTATTTTTGTGATCAGTGGCCACCTTGAGCCTCTGTAGGACTGCTAGAACTTGCTTTTAAAAAGGGCATTGATTCTGTGCCAACTTCAGATTATCTGAAAATTAATTACTTTGTAGAAGTGTACATATACTAAACTTAATTGCAGCTCAGCTAGGTTAGATGTGCATGATGTATATGGATTTTGTAATGACATTACAGTTAAGATGATGATGTCTTCCTGCCTACATAAGGTGCAGTTGAAAACTGCACAAAATTCAAGTAACTGATTGTTTGCTTTTCCTGCAGAACAGGTCATAGGCCTTATTGTTCAAAGAGAGCTAGGAATGCTGGAATGTACTCTCAACAAGGTCCCCCCCCCCTTTATCTCTCTCAAGTGATACTGTGATAAATTATACAAAAGTTTCCTTCAGGGTGCTAACAGTGACCTTCCTGAATGCTTCCAGATGCTTTTTGGGCTTTAAAGCACAGTATGTAAACTTCAAATTAGTAAACAATAAGCTGTCTAGTAGTGCAATAGTATTTCGCTACAATTTCAGGAAGCAGCAGCTAAGATGATGGTCCTAAATCTTACAAAAGAGTTTAATCCTGAAGAAGGAAGAATATATGCTGCAAGTAAGAAAGCTCCTGTAGGTTAACATTGAGGATTATATACTGCTAGTACTACATGCATACACAGGTATATACAGTATGTGTATGTAACACATGAGAAGCAGAATTTAAAAAATCGTGTTTGGGATTCTGAGAATGTATCTGTTTTAAGCTTAAAATCTGGTTAAGATACCAACTTCTGTTCCAGAATTCTTTGCAAGACATCTGTCATGATAATGTGTACTTAATGCAACTAGTTTTGATTTCAGTGGGCCTTGTATAGGAATAACAAAATCCAGCCTGCTGAAGGAGTGTAGCATTAAAATGTATGATGGTTTTAATAATTTCAAACCCTGGAACTTGTCTCCATACTTCTTCACCTCTTTCTAGCCTAGTGGTCCACACTTTGACATCCACAGTCCCCTTGATACTCTTTGGCATAGGTCCCCGCCTTGGTACCCATGGGCATCCAATTTTTTTTCTGTTATTTAGTTTATGTAAATGGAATTACATAAAATATGTATAACTTTCTAGCAATTATATCTGGACTTCACCAAGTGTACCAAATAAGTATTATTTTGAAAGCAGAAACTGTCACCCATTCCTTAATCCATTGTATTATAGGAAGTGAATGTTTATATTTCCAGCATCGTACCATCAGTCTTTTAGCTGTCAAAATGGTAGAGAATCCATTTTTATCTTTTTGTTAATATCCATGAGCAAGGTAAATTATTTAAAAGAACATGTCCATCTATGAATATTAAAGTCTGTTCTAGTATCAAATTTAGGTGTGTAATAACCTCCTCCCAAAAGAAGGAGGTGGCTAAGAGTGTGGACTGGGACTCAGATCTGGGTCTGTCCCTGCTCTACCATGGAGCCAACTGTGCGTGATTTTTGGGCCAATACAGACTTTCAGCCCAGCCTACCGCACAGCACGGTTGTTGTGAGAATAAGACTGGAAGGAGGAGGACAGTTATGTAAGCCACCTTGAATTCCTTGGAAGGAAAAAGTTGGGATGATGATAATAAAATATTAATAATATGGCCAAAACATATGTCTTAGCTGTATGTATTATCCCTCAAGCAGTTAACCAAATTCAACAATGTTAATTAAGAGACATTGCAATGTTACATAGACAGGAAACAAACATTTTTGCTGAATAGGTCACGGCTTAAAATCTTTAAGAAAAGCATGTGGATACCAAAGGAACGTCACTTATCAGGCAGTTTGTGGTGCTGTGGACAGAAGTTTCTCAAATTTCCAGATTTGCTCACAAGTCCATAAAGGTTGAAGTTGAATGGCTGTAAACTGTGTATTGTATCTATTTGTTCTGCACCATTTATTTATTATTATTATTATTATTATTGTTGTTGTTGTTGTTGTTGTTGTTGTTGTTGATTTATATCCTGCCTTTTTCCTACAAAGGGCTCAAGGCAGCTTACATTATCTCTCCTCCTCCATCTTATCCCCACAACAACAACCCTGTGAGGTAGGTTGGGCTGAGAGACTGTGACTGGCCCAAAGTCACCCAGTTGGCTCCATGGCCGAGCGGGGACCCGAACCCAGATCCTCTGAGTCCCATTCCCATGCTCTTAACCACTACACCACACTGGCATACATACTAACTTTCTGACTATCACAGCAAGCAAATCTGATATTCTTTTCATTGATACAAGATAGTTACAGAGCTGGAAGGGGAAATCACTTCCTGTAATGACCTTCTATCCTCAAGAATTATTGATAGGCAGCCACCATGAAGACTGATGTCTGCCTCTTTATAGTGTTTCTGAGCCTTAAGCAATGCTGCATAGTTTTCTTGTCACTGCTCGTCACAGTTGTAAGCCAAGTGGTTTCATCCAGTCTTTGGTGAAATTAGAAAAGCTCCTTGGATTTGTGGATTTACTGATTATTTGTCAAGCAAGCTCTATTGAATCATGTAAATAGCTTTTAATTAGACTAGGCCTATGCAGGCAATAGATTTTGCATGGTGAGTGGCAAGCTTTGAGAGACTGTAGGCCAGTTGTGGAGCATGTACATTCCATACAGAAGATCTCAGATTCACTCCCTGGCATCTCCAGGTAGGATTGGAAAAAATTCTGGAGATCCACTATCAATCTTGATAGTACTCGCTAGAATGATCCATGGTCTGACTTGGTATATGCTATTTATATTCCTAAGTGCATTAAATTTTATTATATGCATTTCATATCAGGATTGGATTCTATTAAGCGGAGAACACCAATTGACTATATGAAGCACCCTGTCTGGTTTTCTGTCTCCACAGACCTCTATATGTCTGTGTACCTTGTATATTTAGACAATTTGAATTGATTTACAGTTAGTGGTATATAGCTTTTATGCTTTTTTAACAGCTTTAGTAAATAGTTTTGTCACAGGGTTAGTTCAAGAAGAAGCTGGAGAGCAGATAAGACAAAGCTCATCCCAAGTGGCTTTTTGGCAAGCCTGCTTACTGCAGCTTGCATTTCCCCTTTATCTTTGCCTCTGGGTTGGCTGTTGGTGTTTGTGTTGGAGCTGAGAAGTTGTTTGTTTGCTGATCCCATTTTTCATTCAATAAGCCTGTTAAACTTCTTGTTTGACAGGCTTTTTATTTCCATTTTACCTTTACCTGATCAAGAGCCATCCACAGTCTCCCGTGGGCCATTATGCCTGCTTACTTGTGAATGTAGGACTGAAGAGGCTAATCAGTGTTGTCTTTTTTTTTTCTCCTTGTAGACATACTCTGGACTCTTCTGTGTAGTCATAAATCCTTACAAGAATCTCCCAATTTATTCTGAGAACATCATTGAAATGTACAGGGGAAAGAAACGCCATGAGATGCCTCCACATATTTATGCAATATCTGAATCTGCATATAGGTGCATGTTGCAAGGTAAGAGGCTTATTTGTGCATTGCATAAAACTAAAATCTTAAAAACCAGTTATTAGCCTGGAAGTCTGAGTGCAACGTGAAAGTGCCGTCCAAGCCCCAGAACACAAATCTACCACTTTGAACCAGCAGTTTTCTGCTCCAGCAGACCCTCCATTTTCACAAAAAGGCAAGCCAGTTAATGCATATCTAAACATTAATAATCATTTAAACTGTTTTTTCCACTGAATCTGTTTCTCCAAATTAACAGGTAACCCCACCATCACCAAAATCACACCCAAGGACTACACTGGCAATCACTAGACAGTCCACACTGGAAATCAGTCTCAGTTTCTTTTTTAAGCCTGAGTTAGTGGGGTAAAGTAAATACAGTACATGTGAAAAGAATATTATGCTTGGGATTCTTGTACCTATATCTAACAAATATTTTCAGAAAATCAATTGGTATCGTTGAGTTTTGGCCTTTTTGAAAGGAAAGGAGAATATTTTTTTGGACAGTAGGCGTTCAGTAGATGATTTTCTTCCATGGCTTCATTTCCAAGAGAAGAGAAGGTAGAGAAGGAAATACTTAGCTGTTGTACCTTGATGCTTGACATGATTAAATATAGTTGTTTCTCATAAACCAAAGGAAGAGCACTGAAAAGTAGTGGTCTGCATCTGCCTGTGGTTATCTTGTGCACTTGTACAAAATTGAGGAGTGATGGAAATAAGATATTTTCTGTAACACAGTCCTTCAATTTATAGGGAAGTAAGTGTTTATGATAACTTAATTTCTGAATAGTATTGGGGATTGAAGCTGATCATCTGGCAGTTTTAAAGATTGTTCTGATTGAGGTGCTTTGTCAAGTTTGCCACACTGCCTGTAGTGCAGTACTGTTGTGAAGAATTTCTAGAGCTACCTGATGGCTTTTCTTTTGCCATTCTTCTCATTTTATTTTATTTGCATGGGAATAGGTTGCAGTTGTACCTCTGTCAAACAACCAGTACCATTAAATTCTCATTTATATCTTTACTTCATGAGACTATAACAGATAACAAGAGTTGATACAGTCTTATTCTCTAAAATGCAGTGATGGTGTTCTGGTGGATTAGAATTAGACTAGCTTAAGTGTGTAGGGAAGACCTGGAAAATGTCAGATGGATTCTGCCTTTTAATATGCAGGAAGCAGAACAAGAGTCTGGCTATTCTCTCTTAGAGTTGACATGTCGACTGTGTTTAATATAGTGAGTTCAGTGAAGAATTTGCATTCTTCATGGTCTCAGTGCAGTACAATGCCTACACAGAACTGGATGTGAAACATTCTAGAGCTTTAGTTCAGAAAGCTTGTATTTGTCCATTTTGTTCTATGCACATGTTCTGACTGAGTCAAGAATAATCAGAATCGGGTTCATCCAAATGCCTCTCTTTAAATTCTACCACTATCAATAGCCTCTGTCGCGTGACCAGACAATGCAATAAACTGCTCTCCTGCAGCGACATGGCTGCTGTGCTAGACCTCTGAGAAGAGAGATCATTATTCTAGAGCTACACATCACCATGCTACTTAGGTTGTTCTAGATTTCTGCTATTTTTGATTCCATGCATCTTGACCAGTTTTTCTGCAAGTAAGTGGAGGGATTAAATTAGTCCAGGTCATGAATAGTATCTGTTTTAATAGTAGCAGCTCACTGGACGTAGCAAGTTGTCTATGGTTGCCAAAACATACTCCTGCAACAGGAAGAGTTTTTTTTATTCATTCATTCATTCATTCATTCATTCATTCATTCATTCATTCATTCATTCTACAAGACTAACATATTTTTTAAGCTTTCAAAATGTTTTGTGCTGGGATGCAGTATGAATGAACTCTGTTGGAGAAGAGTAATTGTTATACCAGTATCTGTAAACTATTATTCCATTATTTTTCCTTGTAGGAACCATTTACCAGGTAGTAGGCAAAAGAATACACTTTGGGGAGCAGCAAGTGAAATCTTAACCTTATTACTCACTAAAGTCTATCCAAATTTGTAGACCTCTGCAGCTCATTTAACAGGGTATTGACATATGATTTCATTTCATCTAGTATTGGATAACTGTGAAAATTTTTAGAGGTATACAGAAGAGAAATTAGGGGTTTCTGTTGAAAGAAGAAAAAAAATAGCCTACTTTAAAGATAAACTAAGGGGGAAAACCCCTATTTTAATACTTGCTCAAATTCTTGGTTTTCAATATATTTCTAAGATTCCTCAATAAGCTTGGTTTTATAGCCTGCTTACAAATCAGCTAACTTGATTTAGAAATAATTAGTATAAAACACTTGCTAATTATTTCCACAACAGAGCATCTAATAGGCCAGTTTACCCCTGACAAGATATTGAGGTGGAAGTTAGAGATGTGATTAAGAATCTATATCTCATTATAACTTCAAGTCTTGATTGAAATGGATGGTTTAAATACAGATCAACACTTTTGGATGAAAATAACATGTACATGTGTACAGCCAGGCTTCCAGTTATGAATGTCTGAGCTTAAGAACAACCCCTACTTAGAAATGAGCAAACTCAGAAGTCCTGCCTTGTCCTCAAATGGCAAGCAGTTGCCTATGGGTGCTGGGCAGCAAGGAGAGGAAGAATGGAGGGAGGGAGGGAAAGGGAAGGAGAGTGGGGGAAATGGTGCACACCATCACAGTTGAAACTAAAGTGGATATAAAGTGATCAGAAAAAGGTGACATGTCATTGGTCATTAGGAAAGCACTAAGCTTTAGTTGATCAACAATCAGATTCTCTCTCTTCAGTATCTGTAGTTACTTTATTAATGTAGTATCATTATTAAAATGTTGTGTCTAAGGTGTTTAGTGTATATGGAAATGTTGTTTTGTTTTATTTTATATACCTGATCTGATAGACATGCAAATTTGACTTAAAGACAATCTCAGGAATGGAACTTGTTTTTAACCTGAAGACAAAGTGTATAGTCGTACAACTTACAGTTTCGTGGTTTAGCAGTGCTTGATGCAATTCTCTTTTCTAGATATAGGCCCTTGGAATGAAAAAAGGAGTGGAAAAGTTAACAGACCATAACAGAGCACGGGGTTAACACTGGCTTAGACTTGCAAATCTGCCTTTTGGGTTGTTGTATGATGAAGGTACTCAACAGACATGAGTAGCTTGTGGCCCTGGCAGAGGGTTGTACTGGTTGGAGTGTTGAACGGGGACCTGAGAGACCCACGTTCTCATCCTCATTCTGCCATAAAGCTCAATGGTTGACTCTGGCCGTTATTGACTCAGCCTAACCTATCTCACAAATTGTTATAATAATAAGATGAGGAGGGGAAGAATCATATAGTCTATAGGATTTCTGCAGGAGGAGAAGGTGGTATGTAAATGCAACAAAGAATAAATATATGTTGCTGGAATAGAACTCCTATCATCCCTAAAATTGCTGTAAAATCCCTAAAAATCTGAAGGTTCACAAATAGTCCACACCTCACAAGCAACCTTTCTTAACCTGATACATCTAGACATTTGGAGCCAACATTCCCATCAACCCCAGGCAGTTGATGGGATGGTCAGACAACTGCAATTCTAGTCTAAAATGTCTGGAGAATACCAGGTTGGGGATGGCTCCAGGTAGTTGAGTAATTAGCAGTATTCAGAATAGGCAATTGTATCTCTTAATAATAATGAAACAGAACTTAAAATGATTGTATTCTTTCACTAGCTGCAATGTGGTAAAGCTGTGCAGCATACAAAGGTGGCAGCTTGCTTTCAAAATCCTTGTTTGAATTACTGTTCTCCTGCTAAGAAATAATGCTTGAAATCTAAATTATAGAAGCTTGTAAATACAAGCAGTACTTAAGGAACTTAGCATTCATTGCACATCATTAAATGTGAAAACTCTTAATTTACATTCCTGATGCATACCTGTATCATAAAACGTTTTGTATATATTAAGAACATAAATGACTTCAGAGTTCATTTTTCTTATAAACAGACTGAATTTTTAAGAATGAGTTGTGCTCAGACAAGTCTTACTAAAAGTGTTATAACTGCTTAGGCTTAATAGTAATAGCTGCCCTTGTATAAACACAGTCATAACTCTTCAGGGTTTTGTTTATCTGTCTTGGACATGGGGTATTTAGAGGATGGAATCTGCTAGCTCAACTCATACAAAAATATTTAATGTTGAACATGTTTCCTATATAGTACACTGGCAGGTTGATTCACCTAGTTACATTGGTATTATTACTAGTAGTTCACTCTTGAGTTGTCCAGTAATAGTGACTTGCTTTGCACAATATGACAGTCTACTGTGGCTTCATTTATTGGGTGGAGGGACGATACTTGCTGTTGCTTGTCATATCATGCAAACCTAGGTGGCAGTGTTGTTTGAGGGTAAGCTGACACAAAAATAAGCCTAAAACAAGACATGTTCCTTTCACATGCAGGTCAAACCATGACTGCCTTCGATGCTGTCATAAGTTTTTCTCTTCCTCCCCACCACATATGGTATAGAGCCCTACTTGTTATAGGATTGTGTGGACATAGTTGCAGAAATAGAGGACTCATTAAGGAACAGAGAGAGTATAGTTTCTGCAGGAGGAAGAACATATGGTTCACATGTTATGTTCTTGCTATTCCAAACGTGACTTGGATAATCAAGAACATGTCACAGGCTTCCATGGCCCCTGCTCCCTGTCTTTCTCACTAACACTTTTGAGTTGAACTGCTACCTCCATTCTCAGTTTTTCTGTAACCACAGATTGCAGTGACTTCTGAACTGAGTTAAGTGTGCTGTTTTCCAAACCACG